GGCTGAGCCCCCCGAGCGGGAGCGCCGTCCGCCCGGGGCCACCTTAACCGTGGGCGAGCTGCGCCGCTGCTGGCCCGTGCCCGGGAGAGGCTCCTGTGGGATCGCAGGGGCGTTTATCTTGCCCGGGATCAGCCAATATTTGTGGCCACGTCAGGAGAACGAGCCCTTCCTCGCTCTCTGCCCCTGCGAGGTCCAGCGCCGCTGTCTCGCTGCCGTGCTCTGCTCTCCCGGCCCCAGCGCTGCTGTCCCGGTTTGACTTCGGCTTACCGGACAGCTGGAGGGACGCTCTTTGCTGAGACCCCCAGGTCGTCACCTCCCAGAGATGACAGCCACGGTGGCTTTCCTGCTGCTGAGCCTTCTGAGGATGGCGGCTCCCAGGGGAGTGTGGTGCCCAGCCTGCGGGCTGGCGGCCCTGGCCCCCACCACGCAGCGGGACGTGCTCATCGCGCTGGCGAAGCAGAGCATCCTCTCCAAGCTCCGCTTGCCCGACAGGCCCAACATCACTCAGCCCATGCCAAGGGGAGCCTTGCTGACCGCTCTCCGCAGGATGTACATGCAGCGCACGGACACGGCCGTCTCCCCAGGGATGCCCCGTGATGGCAGCACCCCACACCTCCATCCTGGGATAGGTCTGCAGGAATACGAGATCCTGAGCTTTGCCGAATCAGGTCTGTACAGACCCTGCATCCCCGTGGGCATGGTGGGATGGGCCCTGAGGCTGGGGGCGCAGAGGGAAGGAAAGTCTTGCCTGTGGAAAGGTGGTGAGAGGTTTCCCCCTCTGCACAGGCATTTCAAAAGCTCTGCACAAGGACATCATGCTCCTGCAGGCAGTGTAGTAGGCCAGTGGGCACGCTGCTGCTGGATGTGCTGGCAGTGAGAGGCTCTATATCCAGGACTATCTCATCCATGTCCTGAGCTTACCCCAATCAGCCACCCCTTGCCACAGGCAGGGGAAGCCCTACTGAAGCTCTGGGGCCCCTCTCATTTACATATGGGGCATGTTGGGGCAAGGGGGTGGACGCAAGAGCAAAGTTGCACTGCTGTATCATGTGAATTTGTGGTCCATTTCTGTTGAACCATCCCCACTTGTGCTTGAAGTGGAGGGGTCAGATGGCCATGTTTTTCAAAACATGATTTAAAGCCTAGATTCCCCATCAGCTCACCGTTTCTGGACTTGATCTCCAAAGCTCATCTGCTCCCTGCACTCAGCTGTGTCTCCACTTCCTACCCAAAGTGGTGGGCTGCCATGTTTCACTCCAGATCATCTGTGTTCTGGGGACAAGAGCGCTCCTGAAAATGTGCTTAGTGGTCCTGACAAGTATCACTGTAAAAACAGGGTCCTGTACTCCCCACTTCTCCCAGGCAAGTGCAGTCGTCTTTGGAAAGAAGCAGAATCGATGCTCCATCCTGCAGAGCTTCCTTCTGCACTGTCACTTTGCCCATCCCAATTTGCTGCTTTGTGAGGTGTGGGGGCACACACTCCCCTCGCAGGCCTTTGTGGGGTTTGCGTGGCTGCTGTGGGATAGTGAGGGCTTGCTGTGTCCTCAAAGACTTCTGGGAACAACGCTCCTCCGCAGTACATTGTGTTCCCATACATAGGGACAATGGGGAGTTGTCTCCTGGCCTGGTGGAGAGTCTTCTGGAAGCAGAAGAGCTGGCGTGAGCCACGGGGCTGAGCCCAGTCTCTCACCCTGCTGTGCTGTGCCAGACCACAGAAAAGGGGGGTTGTGTCCTCAGGAGCAGAGCTGTGCCAAGGAGACCAGCACTGCTCTCACAGTCCCCGTCAGCCCTTCCTTTGTGAGGAGGAGAGGCAGCTCCACAGCCTCAGCAGCAGCAAGGGTGGGACATGCTGGAGCAATGTTGGGTGATGATTCCAGCCATGGAAAGCACAGGTAGTGCTGGAGGTGCAAATCAGCGTGACTGTCTGAAATCCAAGACTGGTTTACACAGCCAGATAACCTACTTCAGAATCCTCTGGCAGCTTCGCTGACAAGGGGGATATCAGGCCAGAGGCGGAACCAAGCTGGGATGCTGCATTCAGCGCCGGGCCTGGATGCTGCTTATTTAGAGCGGCATAAGAAGGGGTAGCAGCAGGAGCGCAGGGAAGTGGTGGCCCCTAGATGCCTGTGCGTACTGTGCTCTGCTGCCTGGTTTGGACATACTTCCCATTTGCTCTGACTCGGTGGTCCTCAGCCAGGGAGCCCCCCCCCCCTCCTGACTCTGCTTTCGGTTCTGTGCACAGGGTCCTCCACCTCCCGCAGCATTCGCCTGCATTTCCGCTTCACCCAGGAGCTGGCTGGGAGCGCAGAGATCCTGCAAGCCACTCTCTACCTGTTCTGGGCTGTCCCTGGCCCTGGGACACATCCTGTCACTGTGAGACTCTTGCAGCCAGACCCAATGGGGCTGAACATGACTGTGGCCAGTGAGACACGGCTGGAGGTGCAGAGGGCCAGCTGGGCCACGCTGGATGTGGGCGAAGCTGTCCAGAGCCTCTTTGGCCAAGGCAGCTCGAGGCTCACTGTGGAACTGGAGGTGGCAGACGACTGGGGGTCTCCCCTCCTGGCTGGCCACAGTGATTCTCACTGGCCGTTTGTGGCAGCCCAGGCCCGGGCCAGGCTGCCCCACCAGATCCAGCGGCGCAGCATTGATTGCAGTGGGGACTCTCGGATGTGCTGCCGCCAGGAATTCTTCGTGGACTTCAAGGAGATAGGCTGGGAGGACTGGATCATCCAGCCAGAGGGATATCACATGAACTACTGTGCGGGGCTCTGCCCCCTGCACATGGCCGGCATCCCAGGCCTTGCTGCCTCTTTCCACACGGCTGTCCTCAACCTCATCAAAGCTAACAATGCGGACGCAGCCATGGACTCCTGCTGTGTGCCCACGCAGCGTCGCCCCCTCTCTCTGCTCTACTATGACCGGGACAGCAACATTGTCAAGACTGACATCCCTGATATGATTGTCGATGCCTGTGGTTGTACCTGACCAGCTAACTGAGGAGTCAGGAGGGCAGGACCCATGCTATTCAGGGCTCCCCTCCTCCCCGTCCCTCTGGCAGTGTGAGACCTGGCGAGCTGCTGAGAGATGTAGACCCTGCCAAGGTGTTTTCTCCTCCTGAGGCTGAAGCATCAATGGTGATGCTGAATCTGCAAGTCCTCTCCTTTCTCACCTCCTACATGGCTCATTTCCCCCTTCAGTTCTGCCCGTGGATTCCTCTCTGCCCATGAGCCACAGCCTCTGAGTCTGGCTCCTGATGGACACCAGACCCTTCTACCTGCAGGACTCTGCAGAGCGCCACCCCCCAGGCAGCTCAGCTCAGCTCACCCTGCTGCTGGTCCCATACCAAGGCCATGGTGCAGTCCTGTGCTGCAACATGAACATGGGCTCTTCAGGTAATGGGTCCCAGCAGCGGCCACTTCAGGGTGCTGGGGGAGACAGAAGCTGTAAAGATGCTGGGGAATGGCTAGGCCAGAGGGCAGAGGGCTGTCCACAGGACCCCACACCTCAGATGGATGTGAGATTGAGGGGGGTGAAGAAGGGGAAATTGATCCCAGTGGGAGGAAAGTGTCTCCTCTCCAAGCATCCCAGCTATCTGGTATTCGATAAAAGACTCCCAGCCATGGTGTGTGCATATGTATGTGTGCATGTGTGCCCTTCATTGGCCTGCACATCTTCCACCTCTCCCAGGGTGCAAGGTGGTGGATGTGCCCTGGCACGGAACTGACCCACTCTGCCATGTGCAGTCCTCTTCTAACCAACTACTTGGTTATAAAGACCAGGCGGCAGGTTTGGGCATCCACCACCAGGGAGTACTGTGCCCAAATACTGCAGTGCTGCTGGCCCTGCTGCTCTCATGCTCTCTGCCCCTTGGCTGCCTTTCCCAGGGGGATGCAGAACCCCTGACTTCTCTCAACCAGATCCAGGACATGATATGGGAGGCCCTGGACACAGAGGCCTTGTGATTCCCACTATGGAAGGCCCCATTCCTTGGTTTGACCAAATTTTCCATTCCACCAAAACCATTTGTATTTGGCCATTCTTGTCCAAAGTCATGACAAAACTGAGCAACTCTTCTTTTAAAGTGGATAGACACTGCCAGGCAAGACCGCTGAAGCTACTGTGCCCAGGACATGCACCCTTGCCTACAACCCCACGCTGGCTCCCTCACTGAGGAGCAACCTCTCAGCATGCCTCTGGCCCATGGCCTGGAGCAGCTGCCCCCCTCTCTGCCCCTCGCCAGCCTGGCTGGCAGCAAAGTGGGACATGGCAATGCCGTGAGAGCTGGGGGCAAAGGGTGGCTCTGACACATCAGTGCCATTATGTAATCTCCTGTTAAGGTTTCTCCACAGCTTCCCACGTGTCCACCATGTGAGAGGGCTGAGAAAGCAGGGAGAGGGTGCTGGGGGTGGGAGAAGGAGGTTTGCAGGGGAGCTCCTGGGGTCATTCCCTGAGGTGCATGCAGCTGGCTGGGGTGGAGCTGCGTGACTGCAGTCCTGTGGTCCGCCCTGCAAGCAGTGACAACCCCACCCCAACCCCAGAGGCTGGAGCTGAACTGGGTGGGAAGAGGGCTGGCAGAGGGACGAGGGTGGTGTCAGACCCTCTCCCCATCTGGCTTGAAGGGTGGCTTTGCATCTGCTGGGGGTAATCAGAGCCACGAGCAGCTCTGGCTGAGGTGGGGGCCAGGATGCACATTGTCCTGGAGAACCTGTGACGGCTGGAGCAGGGATGGAACAAGCATCCTGATGCAGGCACTCCTACCGAGCCCTGCTGGAGTGGGGACCCATATCTCCCCATCAGGTCGCAGCAGCCATGGTGCTGAGATCCAGGCTTCCAGGCCCTGGTGCTGCAGGACTCAGACCTGAAGGTTTCCCACTGACACAGCTGCTGCACAGGCAGGGTGGAAGACTTGGGGATCAATACCGTCTGGGACCCAAGGCCACTTGCGCAAACCCAAAGAGAGTTTGATGTTTGTTTTTTTCTGTTTTTTTTTTTCCCCTTCCTTTTCCAACTCCTCTTTTCACTGTCTGTATTTATTGAACAAACGGAGGGTGGTGGGGTGGGGTGGTGGGGCTGCTGTGCTGAGCTCTCTAGGCTGCAGCAGGCATGGACGGAAAAGAGCTGAGTGAAGGGGCAGGGGAGCTGTTGGCTGGGCCCTGTGGCCCTCCAGATGCCTCAGCTCTGGCTGAGGCTGAGGCATCTGTCATAAGCCCACAAGCAGGGCTGGGATGCCCCCAGTTCCGCTTCTTGCCCCTGCAGCACTTCTGCGAGGCACTTTCCCGCTCCCCATGGGGCTCAGAGCAGAGCAGGGCTGGCTGCCTCTTGTTGCTGCACAGCCCCTGTGGGGCACAGGTGCCTTGCCTGAAACAGCTCCCTCTTGCTACCTGCCCCCCCATCCCCAGCTCTGCCCTCTTCTGGGCTGCACGTGTGCTCTCTGGACACCACAGGACACAGAGCAGGGTCTGCCTGCCAGCCCTGCAGGGACACTGCCCTCAGGCATAGAGATGGGGGGCATCTCCTGGTCTAGACCTCCCCGGACCTGAGAGTTGTCACCGCATTGACTTCTGTCATCTGGACTGTGGTACAGCTGGCCCAAGCCCCTCAGGGGAACCACATCCCAATGGACACAAAGGTCCTGCTGGTTCGGGGTGCCTGGGTTAGCAGCAGCTCCCCTGAGAGGGTCCCAGTTTCTGAGGCCCCTCCCTGACCCTGGCAGTTTGAGATTAGGGCAGAACACATTGTCCTGGGGGTTTGCCAACTGCCTGAAAACCTGTCTTCTCCAGTGCCTTCAGGTCAGAGGTTCCCCAGATGAGCAGGGTCCAGGATCCTGCAACACAGGACTTCGTCTCCACGCACACGGCTTGTCCCACTCCCACGTGTAACAGGATGCCTGGGTGTAGTCTACAGCACTTTCCCCACTAGCAGCATGAGGCTAGTGTGACCAAGGTTCAGGAATCCCACAGCAGCACTCCAATCTGGGGAACACTGCAGGGTGAGGAGGGTGCAGACAAGAAAGGGTGATCCCCTGGAGCCAGACACAGTCCGCTCCCTGCCTGCACGGGGCTGGCACAGGGCAGGGGCCCATGGCAGGCAGAGGCCCCCAGCACACATACCCATAGCTGGTGGCCGAGGCAGGAGTTGTGTATTTATAGCCCTGACAAACTGCACATGGAAAAGTGACTAACTGGGCTTCACTACAGCTGCATGTTATTTTGCAAGGCTTCTCCATTGTCAGCAAAAGTAATCTTGGTGCAAGCATGAAGGCAGACTACCAAGTGAGAGTCTTCAGGGAGCAGAAGAGAAAACCTGAGGGCAACGGAGTGCAACTTCCCACTGGGCATCCACTGCTCCTTTGCTAGCAGGAGAAGAGAGGGGATGAGAACTGTGTTCACATTATGGTGTCCCCTCTCCTCCTGCTGTGACACCGCACTTCTGCTGGGGTCCCCTGTTCACTCAGGGGCTTCTGGAGGGGGTGTCTCAGGCAGGCACGCCCAGCCGCCATGGGGGACTGCCGCCCTGGCCCGCCCCGCAGCCCCCACCCCGGCCCAGCGCGGGAGATGCTGTGCAGACAGCATCGACCCAGCACTTGGGCTGTGCCCTTGGGCCGTGCCAGATCTGGCACAGAGGGGAACACAGGGCTCCAGGAGGTGCTGTCCCCTCGGCCTCTGCTCCAGGGGGGGACAGGGATGTGTCGCTGCTGCCAGTGGCTGCTGAAGGAGCTTTTGCCAATATCAACAGATCCCGAAGCAAAGGTCCAAGCGCGGTGTGCCAGGGTGTCCCTTGGCAGGGCCTGGCTCTCAGGGGAGGGGTGGGAATTCCTGAAAGCCCCCGGTGTTGCCTTGAAAAGGGTTAATTTTTAATTTTCTGTCTCACCGGCAGTTTCCAGCCAGCAGCCCTCGGCTCGGAAGCACCCAGCGATCCGCACCGGGCGCCTTCGCCTCGGCTGGTGCGAGGTGACGGTCCCCGTGCGGGGCAGCTCCCGGAG